GCTGTGCAAAGGCAGCACTTGGGAAAGCTGGGTGAAGAGCAAGAGGAAATTTTTAGCACCACTGTTACAACCTTTCTTTATATCTAAACTTAAGCAAAAATAAAAGCTAAAAGAAAAGAACAACAGCAACATTACTTTCCTTATTTTTCTCACATTCCCTTAGTGAGGCACACCATGACAAAGACTAAACGAGTTGCCCTTGTTGCCCCCACAGCACCTGACACAGCAGCACTAGACACGCCACACAGGTTGAATTAACTTTTATCTGCAACATAAATACTAAATGTTTCTAGAAAAATGTATACTGAGAAAATACAAAAGCAATTAATTTTTATGAAAGGTTTCAAGCAAAAAAGGGGTGTGGATTAATATGAAATATACCTTTTCCTCTCTCCAGGGCTACAGGTAAAGGATGGTAGTTATGAGCACCATATTTAGATTCCCTTTCAAAAATGTACTCAGAGGATGGAGGGCCTTGGACTGTTTTTTTAGTTGCAACAGATGTGGCAGAAGCCACTGAAGAATGAACTCCACGAGGAAGCACAACAACCTTCTGCAAATGTGCTAGTTTGGAAAACATTGTATCCTTCAAGCAGGAAAACCACAGATCTGTCCAAAAAAAGAAGAGGGCATTAAGAGTGAGAATCTTGAGCCGGATGCAGTTGAGAGTACCTGCAGCCCTAGCTACTTGGGAGAACGAGGTCAGAGGCCACCCTGAGAACCAGAGTAAGATTTTATCTCAATCAAACAGTAAGAGAGTCTGTCTCTCCAGAGTTGATGGGCACACCCACTACAGCAGAACCTCCATAGTTGATTGACCACCTCTTTAAATTGATCCTAGTTTGCATAGAACAGATGTGCACCATATGTATGCCATCAACACAGTAGGCCTACTTCCTTATGTTGACCACCTCCATATGGTTTTTTGTTTGTTTGAGACAGAATCTCAAGCTGTCACCTAGAATCATAGCTCACAGCAACCTCCAACTCTTGGGCTCAAGCAATTGTCTTTTTTTTTTTTTTTTTTT